CTAAATATATATATATATATCTATATATATATGTACATACAATAGTGTCGAATTTAACTGACCTAGTAATGTCATTTTACCTGATGCTTCTCGCTAAGTGCCTTGCAACGAAATAGAATTTATGCTTACAAAAATATGCGAATTCATCTTTCTGGTGGATTTTTACCTGTGTTGATTGATTACCACTGTCCGGCCGTGAGTCGCACTGGTGGATTTAGTTCCATATTTTTAATCAACAGAGGTAAGAGGTGCCAGAGGAGGCACGCAAGCCATGAAGATCACAAGTCGTGCAACACTTCGGTCAGAACATCCAGGTGACATGGTGTTGGTGCAAAAATCTATTTTTGGTTACAATGGGATTGAAGACAACCAGGTGTCCAAAGTGACCGTTTTGGGAGAGAAACGTCGTTGTTTAAACTGTTGGTGCGAACAATTAGTAAGCTGGAGACAAGGAGGATTCTGATGATGAGGTCTCGGGTTCAAAGATACCAATCTACAACTGAACCATCTACGCTTCCTTCTGAACGAATATCAATTACTCGCCTAAAAGGGGTTATGAGCAGTGTGGTCAACCTCAGGATGTTCACCAATGGATATTTTCAATCAGTCGACTAACTAACCCATCAAAGGTTCTGACAACAGATTTCACTAGAGTCGCCATGTATGCATAAACGATAGAAATATGGAGAGGACATAAACCAAGTGAAAAATAGACACTTACGTCTGCTTGGATCTTCTTGAACTCATCCATGCAGGTCCGGGCTTCCTCCTCTAAATCCTTCAGTTTGGCATCCACATCCGTGAGTTTCTGTTTCGCCGCTTCTAATTCTGCTTCGATGCTGGCAACTTTTGATTTGGATTTTTCAAAGTTCCTCGCAGCTGTTTTGACGCCAACTTGGAGCTTGGTCAACTGATCGTTGGTCTAATTGGAAAAAAAGTAGTGTAAGGTAGGATTAGTGATCGGATTAGTGACACAAAGAGTTCACAAAGCCCCAGACAAGATGGAAACGAACCTCTTTTGTCTTTTTCTCAATGGCGTCTAAACGACTGCGAACCGCGGTCAAACGGGCCGACCCTACATCCAGCAGTTGGGCTTTCAGCGATTCGGCCTCCATGCGCTTTTTCGAAGCTAGGTCGACCTTCTGTTTGACGGTTTTTTCCAGTTTAGACAATTCGGCTTCGAACCGCTTCTGTTCTGCGTCAGATGGACCGGTAGAGCGGGCACGCTGCTGCGAACGCTCGGCCTCCGCGGTGAGGGCTGCAACATCCGCAAGCAGGCGAACGCACTCAGTCTAAGGGATTGAAAGCAGCGGGAAACAGAGGTTCCAGTCCAGGTCATGAAACATCAAAGAGGAAGCATTGAATACAATACTTTGGCGGAACGGAAATCAGTGGTAGGGAGTGGGGAATGACTAAGCGGAAAGGAAGCTTAAGGCACCCAGATGAGTACGCACCTCACATCGCTTGACAGTTCGTTCTGCTTCCTCTTTTTGTCGGGTCAGTCGAGTCACCACCTCCTCCAACCGTGAGCGATTCTCACGAAATCTGGCCAAATCTGCGTCTCCTTGGGAAAGCTGTTCCTCCAGGGATGCTAAATCGGGCGCGTCATCCTTCCCCAGAGATTTGCGCCCGCAGTGTGCAGACACAGCTCCGCTGAACTCACGAACCTGCTCAAGACTGGTAAACATACGTCCTGACAAAGGACGTCCACCACCACCGGACATGGCACCGGAGGTTTCGATAAGTTGGCCCTGAAATGGAAGGCGCATGAATCAATCGTAAAGTGGCAGCTACACTGCGACTGGTCAAAACATGCACCGCATTTGTCTCAACGTTCAGCAACACTTTGGTTTTGGCCAATTCTGATGAGCGATATTGGCAAGTATGCGGCGTAATCGTAAGCTAGCAATACTGGCCAGTCGAATTAGATGGCTGTTTTTCTTATTTCCTCACTCAGATAAAACATGTTTCAAAGTTTAAAATTCAAACCCACCAGCCACCAAACGAAAGTAGGGGGGAGAAAACGTCGGTCAACAGTACAGTATAGTCAATTTTACAGAAGCATGGGTGAAGTTTACAGCGTAAAATCGCCCGCTCGTTTCGAATCACTCAACTATAAACTGTTCGGCTGTAGCACCATTTCGGTGTCAAGATGCCATGCCACCCGAAGGAAGCATGAGGGCTGTGTCACCGCCAGGTTGCCCAAGCCTAGACAGAGGAAGTCGAGAGGCGGAGGTCGGGTTCGAACCACGGACCCTGCGGTCAGTAAATTCGCGTTCTAACCACTTGAGCCATCTCAACAGTTGGCATTCCGTCAAACACCTTGTTCAAGTCAGTCAAACAATAAAGCATCGGTGAACGATAGACATGAGGCGAAATGCGGATCATCGACGAGAGCAGACACTCATTCATCATTCATCACCATTATCATCATCAGCATCAGAGACAACAAACTCAGGGTTAACATTGAGGTTTCAAGGTCATACACTCGATGGAGGTCTCACTTTTCGTATCATTTACATGTACGAACCAAGATGAGAAGGAAGACAGAAAAAAAGCAAATAGCAAAGATTCGAACTCGTAACCTTCTGGCTAGAAGTTTGAAGCTAAACCGATTCGCCACTGGCGGCTGATCACAGTATGAATTCACATCACGTGTTCACGCGTTCCTCGAGTGACCAGCTTCTCAGGTGGAAGAAGGTTTATCCCTCGCGTGGATTGTATTTCCCTGGGGTAAATTGTAGTGGGATTTAGAGACTGCAATAGAGATTTCGTCCCGTAGGTGTTGTCAGCCTCTGCTGAAGCACTGTACGGCGGTTTCATCCTTATTTGGAATCGTCAGTAATATGCATCTCACGGATCTCAACTACTAACAAAGAAGACTAACCTTCTGGCTAGAAGTTTGAAGCTAAACCGATTCGCCACTGGCGGCTGATCACAGTATGAATTCACATCACGTGTTCACGCGTTCCTCGAGTGACCAGCTTCTCAGGTGGAAGAAGGTTTATCCCTCGCGTGGATTGTATTTCCCTGGGGTAAATTGTAGTGGGATTTAGAGACTGCAATAGAGATTTCGTCCCGTAGGTGTTGTCAGCCTCTGCTGAAGCACTGTACTGTACGGCCATCCTTATTTGGAATCGTCAGTAATATGCATCTCACGGATCTCAACTACTAACAAAGAAGACTACTCACAAGGTTGCTGAAATCTCGACAGATCACGACTGGTTTCGCCTTTCAGTTGTAGAATATCAGAAACAAGAGATTCAGTTGAGTCTTGCAAATGAGTGTATTTCTCGAAAACAGTCCAATTTGGGTTCAAGTCGAACATAAGGTTGACGGGAACTCGGGGACGGCGTCTGCCTGATGAGCCCCAAGAAGGGCGAAACCGGTTGTGGGCTATCGAAGAGTTTTCAGCAGCCTCGTGAGTAGTTTACCTTATGAAAATACTAACAAAGAAGTTGTGAGTTCGAATCTAGCCAGAGATTCGTGAAATCCACAATAAGGATGAAACAGTTGTACGGTGCTCTTCGGTGCAGATTGACATCGCTTAGAGGATGGAATCTCAACTGCGATTTCAAAGCCCTTTCATGCTACCTTCAAATGAGAAACAATTCTTGTGAAGTTGAACACCACAATTGGTAAAAAGAAGCGATGATAATGTCGGGCTCAAAACAGCCGCCAGATGGCCTTCGTTCTGGACACCGTAGTTTCATTTGAGTCTCAAGTTGGCAGAGCCCTGATTTCATCATCATCATCAAAGACAGCAACATCGATGATAATGGCTCAAAACAGCCGCCAGATGGCCTTCGTTCTGGACACCGTAGTTTCATTTGAGTCTCAAGTTGGCAGAGCCCTGATTTATTTCTCATCATCAAAGACAGCAACATCAGTGTTGGCACTGATGCTTCACTGCCGTACAACCATAAGGTTTGTCTATATATATATTAAAAGCCCTAGGTTGAAAAGAAGGGAAAAAGAGTGGGTGAGGGAGGAGACCTAGTGCTGGCCTATGTCAAGCATACTGAGGTGCCTACACCTCCAAACGCTCAACCAGACAATCTGGAAAGAAACTGACAGCAAGAACGCCACTGACATCGATTAGCCGCCATTTCTTGCAACGTCTCCAGCCAAGCACAGATGGGGTCACGGGGACCCCATCCTGGAAGTCTCACCATACTAACAACACCCAAACCCTTCGTGATCTCTTTCACAGCTTTCTGCCAGGTCGTGTGCTGTCCACCTCGCGGTTTTCGCCATCCTGAAGAAGGCACGGAGAACAATACTCGTCTCGGTAGACGGTATTTCGGCATGCGTAGCACATGACCGAGCCATCGTAGTCGATGATTCTGAATGTTTTCCCGGATTCAGTTGCCTGCAGCACAGTGAGGGCCTGTCGCGTCAATTTCCCCATTCAAAAACCTCAGTACATTCGCTCCGCATAAAAAAATTTAGCGATAACGATAACTGCACTCATTTGCATACCAATTGTGTTTTCACGAGAGACTTACATAAATCGCTCTGTTATGATGTTCTTCTTCATGAAATTTGGGTTCAAGCAGAACATGGTTCGGCAAGAACTCAGAGACTGCCTATTCGATGAGCCCCAAGAAGGACCAAACCGATAGTGGGCTGTCGAAGAGTTCGCAGCTGCCTTAAGAGTAGTGTGTCACGTCTGCCGGTGAAACTCTGTTTCAAGTCCGAATGAGATATCTGTCAATTTTCATGCACACTGAAAGTATGAAGCGCGTCTGTGGACCTATATTTTCTGAGACTGCAGTGTCTTCCTAAGTGGGCTGCTGCGTTCTGTAACCTGGAACGAATAATTGGGTTGCGTTCCGACCACAACCAAGTGAAACGCTGCGGAGACATCTGTTGTTGAGGCTTTTTTTATGAAATATGCGGGAGAACCGGTGTATTTTGAACTGTTTCAGTTGTTTAAGATATCCCAACACCCTTTGGAGCATCTTTTCAACACTGTCCTCTTATCACACCCCATCTTTACAAAGGTCACTTTCACCATGAATCCCAACTGGATGAATTCGGGGGAGTATGAGGAGGTTTTCGAGTACCTTCTCCATAAGACGCTTCAGGTGGATGTATGGAATGCCAAGTCCCACATGTTGATCGGTTCCACCGCGTCAGAAATGAGGGTATGTTAGAGTCTATTTTCAAAGATCTTGGATGAGTATAAACGTGAAACTACAGAAATTAGGTGTGTCTTTAGTGGCTTTCAGAGAATACCCCATCTTAGAGGTCGATATCTTTTTGTAAATGTTCGTCAATAGTACTGTGTCCTTGGATTTTTAATGATTTTGTTCAACTTTTTCAAACTAACACGCTCGATTTTTCCACTTTTCATCTGGCAATCTCAAAAATTTGTGTTACATGCTAGAGGAAACGCCGATAAGGCTGGTTCAAATAAACCCAACCTGACCATTTCAGAGTTTGACGTCCTTGGTTATTCACTTTAAATCATGACTCATATGCATGCTTTCTGTTAAACAGAGATTTTTGTCGTCAAGGCCACCATCCACACACTGCTCACCTCCAGTCTGTCCACGGCACCGAGGGACACGTGTGCGCTATGTACAAACCATTCCATTATGTGTCACCTGTCCATATCATCATCATCATCATAATAATAATAGGGAACAATATCATTTTTGGCAATAATGCTTCACCACCATAAAACCACAAAATTTTTCGCCAATTATATTTGAAGTCTTAGTATAAAAAGTGGATGAGAGAAGAAACATGATGCAGGCCTATCGCATGTATCCCGAATTGGCTACAATTGCGCTTAGTCAGATAGTCGGCAGGGAAATTGACAGCACAAACGCTACTGGTATCCATCAGGCGCCAGTTATTGCAATGTCTGCAGCCAAGAGTAGAAGGAGTCCCCGGGACCCCATCCTGGAAGGAGTACGGCAACAATAACACCCAAACTCACCGTAAACTCCTTCATACTCTTTTGCGGTGTCATTTTCGCTTCGCGGTTTCCGCCATTTTGAAGGAGGAACGAAGAAACCCATGTCTATACCTGCATTCAGGAACGTTTGACTACCAACTACTTATAAAGCGTTCTCGTCGTCGGGTATTGTGGATCGATGCATCGTCATATCGACCTAGAGAGTTGATCGCAGAGCACCGTGATGTAGGATTGGACTGTCATTTTGCAGTGCGTTTTACCTGACTGGCATTAATCTACCGCAGAGAAAAAGCACAAAACCTGTAACTGCAGTCATTGTGGCTTTTCACATATTGTTCCATAAGTGGACCCAGCCACCTGAATATTTTATTGTCACTTCACCCCACTTCTTTCCGTTTTTGACTCCATAAGACATCTGTTTGCTTGACTCTATTCTTCGTGTACATCTTATTCAGCTAGAACGGACTCTCTGTCATATCTGCATTCCAAACAAGAATGTCTCCAGAACACTTTTTAGGCGCGCCTAATCTGAAATACAAATTTATAATTGAGGAACTTGTTACCCGGTTTTCGTCCTTGTCCTGGTATATAATAAGCGGCAGACTTGTGAGACTGCATCCAAAAGGACCAAGCGAAAATTTGCTCACCAAAGTTATCTTTTATGTGAATTTCACTGCAACTCGTCCCTGTGGGCGGAGATCACTGCTCCGTCCACTGACGAAAATGCGAATCCATAAACCACAATTCCCTTAAGTTAAACTTGTTTTCTCATGTCGCTGGTTGAGCGTCGTGCGTGTCATGTGCAGCTCAGATGCGGTTGCCCATTGAACCCTTACATCACTGCACTGTTAGCCTAGGACATGA